ATGGTGGTGGTGGTGGTGGTGGTGGTGGTGTGGTGGTGGTGGTGGTGGTGGTGGTGGTGGTGGTGGTGGTGGTGGTGGTGGTGGTGGTGGTGGTGGTGGTGGTGGTGGAGGTGGTGGCGGTGGTGGTGGAGGTGGTGGCGGTGGCGGTGGCGGTGGCGGTGGCGGTGGTGGTGGTGGTGGTGGTGGCGGTGGAGGTGGTGGCGGTGGTGGTGGTGGTGGTGGTGGTGGTGGTGGTGGTAAGTGTGGTGGTGGATGTGGTGGTGGTGGTGGAGGTGGCGGCGGCGGCGACGGCGGCGGTGGTAGTGGTGGTGGTGGTGGTCGCTTCTCCTTCCCCCGACAGACCCCGCTTATCTCCTCGAGGATGGCGCTGGCCATGCTGTGCAGCCTCTCGACGCTCGGATAGTTCTGCAGCGTGCGCGTGAGCGTCGCGGCGGCTCCCGCGTCGCAGATCGCCCGCTTCTCGCTGGCCCCCGAGAACGCGAGCTGGACGAGCACGTAGCAGCCCTTCTCTTGCACCCTCTCCGACAACGGGTGCGCGTCCATGCCAGCCAGCACGACCTTGTGGCCGCCAAGTCTGAGAATCAGCTCCCTGCAATCCCTGCAATCGTACTCCTCGCTTCTCGCCAGGTGGGCCAGAGCGCCGCACACCATCGTCTGCACGTCGGGATCCCCGCGTTTTCGGCCCATGATCTCGATCATCGCGAAAAGACCCTGGCCCTCGCACAGGGCCTGCCTGCACTCCCCGTCGCCGTTCGCCAGGTTCGTCAGGGCGGCCAGGCCCCACTGCTGCACCTTGGCGTCGCCGGCATGCTTTCTGAGAGCCGCCACCACGACTGGGACTGCGTCGGCATCGCAGATTGCATCTTTCCCATGCTGGCGGCCTGTGGCGAGATTCGCGATGGCCAACAGGCCGTCGCCCTGGATGGCTGCGTCGCTGGCATGGAGGCGCAGAGCGTCCACGAGTGCGGCAGTGCCCCCTGCGTTCACCACCTCCCCCTGGCAGTCGTCGTCGCCATTCGCCAGGTTTGCCATCAGTGCGCAGCTCATGTGCTGCAGCCGCAGGTCCTGCTTGTGGGCCTTCATCGCCTTGACCACCAACTTGACGGCGCCATATCTCCGAACCTCCATCTTGCACGCGGGGTCCCCGTTGGCCAGGTTGGCGAGCGCCCTGGAACCCGCGCGCATGACGCCGATGTCCGACAGCTTGGCTGCAGTCATGGCAGCCACCACCACCCCCGCGCCACCCGCCTGTCTGACGGCCGACTTGCCGACTGGGCCCTGAGGAGGAGGAGGAGGAGGAGGAGGAGGAGGAGGAGGAGGAGGGAGGAGGAGGAGGAGGGAGGAGGAGCCTGCTTACAGAAGCAGGCCAGCGCCTCGCAGCCCTGCTCCTGCAGCAGCACATTCTCCGGGCACCTCTTCATCACCACGACGATCTCGGCCGCGGTCGGCCTGAGCTCGACCCGGTCCTGCGGGCCCTGCTTGCCGCCCGGCAGCAGCGCTATCCGCAGGTCCGTCAGCTCGGGCTCCAGGGCCAGCCGCAGGGCCGTGGCCTGGCCGTCGAGCGCGGCCTGCTGAGACCTCTGCCGCTCCCTGGCCTCCCTCTCGGCGTCCACCACGCTCGCCAGCTTGAGGTTGATGGACTGGTTTTCCACCACCACCACCATAAGTTGGAGGGGGAGGGGGTCCTCCTCCTCCTCCTCCTCCTCCTCCTCCTCCTCCTCCTCCTCCACCTCCTCCTCCTCGTCCTCCACCTCTTCCCTCCTCCAACTTATGGTGGTGGTGGTGGAAAACAGGCCCATCAGAGGTTGCTGATCTTCAGCGCCAGCGTGCCGCACCCCTCGACGTCGACGCCCACGCGGCCCGTCTTCGGGTCCAGGCGGACCGCCTGGCCCCGCCGGCCGTTGAGCTCCGGCCGGGCGCTGAGGCCCTGCTCGGGGAGGACACTTGAAGGGGCCCCAGGGCACACAAATGAATACACACAAATAAAAAGATTCCCCATATTCTTCCATATCTTCTGGGCCTTTGTCTTCCCCCCCACTTCCCATATCTTCCCATATTTTCTGGTGAATCGACGATTAATTGTGTCTGTGTGTTTTTCCCCTCCTGAACACTGGAGCATCCACGGCGCGCCGGCGTCGGGAGCCCTGCGGCGTGCTGCCGGAGGCCTGCCAGCATGGGCGGGGCGGCGTCGGCGGAGCGCGCGCATCGCCGAGGCATCGTCGGAGCATGCGCGTCGGCGACGTCGGCGTGGAGGAAATCGGGCGCCACGCCGAGCAGCACCGACAGGGCATCGGCGATGCGGCGGGGTCCTCCGAGCCCATCTGCTCCGAGGCCATCTGGGAGGGCTACGCAAAGGTGCTCCTTCGCTTCTGTCCGAAATCCATGAGTCCTTGAACAGCAGCACACCGATGGGTTCCCCGCGGCGGCGCGTCACTGACACTGTTGCGAACGGGGGAGGGGGGGGGGGGGACAAAGGTACCGATACCGCTACGCCACGGACCTCACCAGGGCTGCGTTCTGAACAGAACGATGACCTATGACGATGGCAATGCGTGTTGAATGCTGAGCGCTCTCGTGACTATGAAATCGAGCTCGCCCAGCGCTTTGGCGAAGCTGGGCTCCAGACTTTGGTGCCTGGGCGAGGCGAAGCCAGCCGTGGAGGCGAGGGAACAAGGCAGAGCAGAGCAGAGCAGTCCCGCACGGGAGCATCTACACGCGGTTGCCGCGGGTGGGCCCCGGGGCGCCAGCACGAGATGGAAGTATCGGCCCTGCAGGGCCGGCCGCTCAGTTACCTGTACCGGTGCCGTGGGAGGCCGCAGACAGGGTGGGAATGCGATGACGATGACATTGATGATCACGGTGATGGTGATGAAGATGATGGTGATGATGGTGGTGATGATGATGGTGACGATGATGCTGGTAATTATGATCATGGTGATGATGATGATGATGATGATGATGATGATGCTGATGGTGATGGCGATGGTGATGGTGATGAAGATGAGGGTGATGATGGTGGTGATGATGACGACGAGTATGGTGATGACGTTGATGATGATGGTGATGGTGGTGATGATAATGATGGTGAAAATGGTGACTATAACGATGACGATGACGATGATGATGATGGTGATGACGAGGGTGATCGTGATGATGTGATGGTGATGACGATGATGGTGACGATAAGGCTGATAGACATGATGATGGTGATGGTAATGATGATGGTGATGGTGGTGATGATGGTTATGCTGATGGTGATGACAATGGTGATTGTGATGATCGTGGTGATGGTGATGACGGTGACGATGATGGTGCTGATGATGGTGGTGATGATGGTGATGATGATGATGGTGATGGTGAACATGGTGATGATGGTGATAATGGTGATGATGGCGATGATTACTATTGTGAAGATGATGGTGTTGATGATGATGATGGTGATGGTGATGGTGATGGATATGGTGATGATGATGAAGGTGATGCTGATGGTGGTGATGCTGGTGATGATGATGATCATGGTGATGATAATGACAATGATGGCTATGACGATGATGATGCCGATGATGCTAATGAAGATGCTGGTGGTTACGATGATTATGATGGTGATGATGATGGTGATGGTGATGGTGATGATGATGATGGTGGTGATGATAATGATGGTGATGTGATGATGATGATGCTGTTAATGGTGATGATGATGGTGATGGAAATGATGGTGATAATTATGGTGATGATGATTGTGATGATGATGGTGATGATGTAGATGCTCATGGTGATGCTGCTGGTGATGCTGACGATGATGATGGTGATGATAGTGACGGTGCTGATGATCCTCGTGATGACGATGACCATGGTGATGATGATGATGGTGGTGGTGATGATGATGGTGATGGTGGTGCTGATAATGGTGATGATGATGTTGATGATGGTGATGGTGATAATGATGATGGTGATGATGGTGGCGACGATGGTGATGTTGATGATGGAAATCAAGAGGGGGATGGTGGTGAGGATGGTGATGATACTGACTGTGACGATGACGATGACGAGGACGATGATGATGATGGTGATGAAGATGGTGATGATGATGATAATGGAGATGACGATGATGGTGATTTTGTTGCCGCGTATGGTGGAAACTATGGTGGTGGTGGTGAGATGGTGATGATGATGGTGATGGTGGTGATGATGATGATGGTGATGATTCTGGTTATGATGGCGAGTATGATGATGATGATGGTGATGATGTAGATGCTGATGATGGTGATCACGATGGTGCTGATTGTGATGGTGATGATAACGATGATGATGGTGATGATGATGCTGATGTTGAACATAATGGTAATGATGAAGATGGTGATTATTAGGGTAAGGATGGTGATGATGATGGTGATGATGATGTTGGTGATGATGATAATGGCGATGATGATGGTGGTTGTGATGATGGCGGTGATAAAGCTGATGATGCTGACGATGACGATGACGATGACGATGATGATGATGATGGTGATGATGGTGATGGTGGTGATGATGATGATAATGATGGTGAAGGTTATGGGGATGGTCATGAGGGTGATGATGATGATCTTCATGGTCATGGTGGTGATGGTGGTGATTCTGATGACGGTGGCGATGATGAAGGTGATATTTGGGCTGCTGGTGATAATGGTGAGTATGATGGTGATGGTGATGATGATGATGATACTGATTGTAATGATGATGGTGATGGTGATGAAGTTGATGACGGTGCTGGTGGTGATGATGATGGTGATGTACTGGTGATGATGGCACTGATGATGGTGATGCTGGTAATGATGATGGTGATGATGATGCTGGTGATGATGATGATGATGATGATGCAATTGGTGGTGATGATGGTGGTGGTGATGACGGCGATGACGATGATGATGATGATGATGGTGCTGATGATGATGCTGATGATAATGGTAGTGACGACGATGACGATGATGATGATGGTGATGATGATGGTGATGGTGATTGATGATGGTGCTGATGGTGATTATGATGATGATAGTGGAGATGATGGTGATGATGATGGTGGTCGTGACGATGATGCTGATGATGATGGCGATAGCGATGATGATGATGATGATGATGATGATGATTATGGTGATGATGAGTATGATGAAGATGCTGATGGTGATGATGACGGTAGTGATGATGGTGATGGCGATGACGGGGATGATGATGATGGTGATGATGATTATGATGGTAATGATGATGGTTATGATGATGGTGATGCTGATGATCGTGGTGATAGTGGTAATGATGATGATGGTGATGAGGTGATGCTGAGGTCGGTGACGATGATGGTGATGATGACGCTTGTGATGATGATGCTGGTGATGATGATGAGGGAGATGATGATGAGGATGATGTTGATGTTGATGAGGTTGATGGTGGTGGTGACGATGGTGGTGATGATAATGATGACGATGATGCTGCTGGTGATGATGGTGATGCTGGTAACGATGATGGTGATGATGGTGATGATGGTGGTGATGATGGTGATGATGATGATGGTGATGACGATGGTGGTGATGATGATGATGATGATGAGCACGATGATGAAGATGACGATGACGATGACGACGAAGATGACGATGATGATGATGATGGTACGGATGACTGTGAGCATGATAATGATGATGATGAAGATATGATGATGATATGATGATGTTGGTGATGATTATGGTGATGATGATGATGGTGACGATGATGGTGGTGATGATGGTGATGATGATGGTGATGATCATGTTGATGATGATGGTGGTGATGATGGTGGTGATGATGATGGTGATGATGGTGATCATGGTGACCATGGTGATGGTGATGATCTATGATGGTAATAGTAACGATGGCGATGATGATGGTAATGATGATGGTGGTGATGCTGGTGATGATGATGATGATGGTGACGACTATGACGATGATGAGTACGATTGTGAAGATGGTGTTGGTGATGACGATGACGATGATGATGGTGATGATGATGATGGTAATGATGATGATGATGATGATGATGATGGTGATGATTGTGGTGATGATGATGATGACGATGGCGATAGTAATGATGGTGGCGATGTTGATGGTGATGATGGTGATGATGATGGTAATGATGATGATGATGATGATCATGATGGCGATGACGATGATGAGTTCGATGATGATGATGATGGTGGTGGTGATGACGATGACGATGATGATAGCATACGATGGCGATGACGATGACGCTGACGATGATGATGATCATGATGATGATGACGATGATGATGATGATGATTACCATCGTTATGAAGATGGTGATGATTATGATGATGGTGATGCTGATGATGACGATGACAATGACGATGATGATAGTGGTGGTTGTGGTGAGGATGAAGATGGTAGTGACGATGACGATGACGATGATGATGATGCTGATGCTGATTATGATGATGATGATGATTCTGATGATGATGATGATTATGATGATGATGATGATGATGATTATGATCATGATAATGACGTCATCGTCATCGTCGTCGTCATCGTCATCGGTTGGAGGTGGTCGAAAGCAAAAGCCAGAGTCTCGGCTACACGCAGGAGTGACCCCAGGCAAAGGTGACCTTTGGCGCGCGGCTCTCAGGGGGGGCGCGGGGGGCCAAACCCGGGCGCGCAGCCCGCTGTTATCGGGTCGCATTTCGCCATCCGGGGACCCTGATGTCCCCGCGTCACAGGCCACCCCAGCGAAATGTCGCTCTCAGATGTAGACAAGAATCTTGGGCGTCCCAAACCGGTGTGGTGACAGACCGCGTGGTGCCCTCGGGACCTCCAACGACCTCGCCGCACGGTCCGTCACCCAACGCTCTTGGGACCCTGGAGGCCCCTGTCACCCGAGACGCCCTCGGAGAGCGACACGAGTCCCAAGACCGTGCGGAGACACATAATCCCCATGGACTCACCACGCGGTGTGGTCACCACACCGTTCGGGGGCCCCTCGAGTCGGGCCACAGGGCTGGAGTCGGAGTCGGAGATAGGCCTCCGATATGCGATATGGGGTTGGAGCAGATGCGGTCGGGGGATCGCGCCGCGTCGCCGACGCATCGTCGATGCGTCGGCGATGCGCAGGCGACCTCGGCGACGCATCGGCGCCGTCAGCGTGAGAAAATCGGACGCCGCATCGCCGATGCATCTGCGATGCGGCGCGATCCCCCGACCCCCTTCTCCTCGGACCCCATGTGGGAGGCCTGGACTTGGCATCGGCAGCGACATCGCCTGCTCTTCTGAGCTTTCCCCCCCCACCCCCTCCTGTATCTCCACCTCGTGGCCCACGAAGAAGCTGCCGTCCACGGCGGGCACGCCCTCGTCCCGGCGCTTGCCGTTGACCATGTGGTCGACATAGTCGCGCGCCAACTCCGGCTCCTTGAGCAGGAAGTTCGGGTCATCGACGGGCATGCGCTCGCGGGCGGCGGCGGCGGCCGCCCGCACGCAGGGAGGCGGGCCCCCCCCGGTAGACGGCGGGCTCGGAGCCCAAACCGGCTGGTGCGGCACGGAGCTGTTCAGAAACAGGGGAAAGAGAGGGAGAGGGAGAGGCAGGGATATAAAAATGAAAAAAAACCATGTATACACACATCTGCATAGATGTTGTGGATACGGGTGGGAGGTGAGAGAGGGAGAGACGGACGGAGGGAAGGAGGGAACTAGGGACGGAGAGAGGAAAGGAGGGTGGCAGAAAGAGAGAGGAAGAGAGGGAGAGGGAGAGGGATAAAGAGAGAGAGAGAGGGAGAGACGGACACAAATACACACACACACACGTGTACACATGTATATACATGTGTATGTATATACATATGTATATATATATATACACAGCAAGAGATTGCGAGAGGGAGGGAAAGAGAGACGCAAGAAGAGGGAGAGAGGGAGATAGAGATGTAGAGAAGGGGACAGAGAGAGCGAGAGAGAGCATGATGATACATATCTATATCTACACATACATACATACATACATACATACATACATACATACATACATACATACATACATATACTAGGGCCACGAGCGCGCTTCGCGCGCGCTTAGGTTCTAGTCGACTGCGAAGACGTTGTCAGTGGGCATTGTGTGCATCCCAGGATGCAGCTGCGCCATGGCTCCCTTTCCCGCTTGGTTGATGGCCTCCGGGGGGTTTCTGGGGGCCTCTAGGGTCCCTCTCCCGAAGCCGTCTCCTGGGTTGCCTCCTCCCCGTCCTCCTACGCCGTCCGTGGAAGCTTTCTGACGGGCCTTTTTCATGCTTCTTGAAGTGTCAGGGCGACAATCACCATCAGCAGCAGCGTAATCATCATAATCATGGTCGCCATCCTTGTGATATCCATCGTCGTGATCATTCTTACCATCAACAACTAAATCATCCCCTAATCTCCATCATGATAAGGATGGGAACACTACTAATACGAATAATAAGCAGCAGCAGCAGCAGCAGCATCATCATCATCATCATCATCATCATCATCATCATCATCATCATCATCATCATCATCATCATCATCATCATCATCATCATCATCATCATCATCATCATCATCATCATCATCATCATCATCATCATCATCATCATCATCATCATCATCATCATCATCATCATCATCATCATCATCTTCATCATCATCATCATCATCATCATCATCATCATCATCATGTTCAGCTGCACTATCACCCTCATCACTGTGATCATCATGAGCATCGTAGAGAACATCATCAGCATCATCTTCATCATCGTCGTCATCATTGTCGTCGTCGTCGTCGTCATCATCAACCTCATCAGTATCATGGTCACCATCATCACCATCACCAAAATCATCATCAGCATCGACATCATCATCATGCTCAGAATCACCATCATCGCCATCTCCATAATTAGCATCATCGTCGTCATCATCTGGACCACCCGTGCCAGAGTGGCGTTTCCGAGCGAGGCCTTTCGGAAGCATTGCTTCGGGGGGGGGGGCAGAAGCCTGATGAATCATGTTCCGGGAAAGCCTCCTGGGAACATGAGTGGTTTGGGGTGTCTCGGAGGCTTTTTCGGGTTTCCCTGGGAGTTTCTTGGGGACCTCTTTGGGCTTCCTGAGGTCCTCTTGGGTGCCTCACGGGGCTTCTGGGGAGCCTCTGGATGGCCTTCGGGGGCTTCCTGGGGACCTCTGAAGCCGAAGACCGCGAAATGTCGGTTCGAATGGCACCTGTGCTCCTTCTTGTGAGCGTTTTTGGAGCCCTCTTGGGAGATCTGGGGAGCCTCCTGGCCCGTCTCGGGGCCTCTTGGGGGCCTCCTTGGCGCGTCTTGGGGCTCTCTCGGGGCCTCCTGGGAAGCGTTCAGGGCGGAAAAATTAAAGTTTAACTTTTTGTTCCCCCTCGTGGGCCCCTCTGGAAGCCTTCTCGGGGCCCTCTTGGGCTTTCTAGGGCCCTCTTGGGCGCCTCTTGGGCGCCTCTTGGGCTTTCTTGGGGCTGTCCAGGGCTTTCTTGAGGCCGTCTGGGGGGCCTCCGGGCAGTCTTGGGGCGCTCTTAAGGACCAGTTGGGCCTTGTTGGAGCATCGGACAGGTAAAAAGGCGATCAAAACCAAAAACATCGAAAACCACAATGGAAAATCATCGATGTTAGCCTCTCGGGGCTCTCTTGGGACGCTTCTTTGAAGCCTCTTGTGGCGGCTTCGGGGCTTCTTGGGCTGTCTTGGGGCCATCTTGGGCGTCTTCGGGTCCTTTTGAGGCTTTCTTGGCAATCTGTACGGCCCGCGTGGCCTGTCGTGGGCAATTTGGAAGCGACCCGGGGCACTTCCGGGGGTCTGTGACCCCCCACAGGTCCCGGGGGGCGCCCATGGGGGAGGGTGGCACCACACACACATCTGCACACAGAGAGAATATGAAAATGAAGGGACAGCGAAAGGAGGCAGAGGAGAGAGAGAGAGGGGGACATTTGGTAGCCAGCACAAGCGTATGTGAGCATGGCAGAAGCGGGTGTCCACCAAAGGGGGGCCCTTCCCCAACAGAGAATAGCGACGCCAGAAATAGGGACCAGCCTTTCATCCTGGGTCGTGTTCTGACGGTCCCGAGGCCCGGCAAAGGCCGCCAGAAGCCGAAAACCGTCAAACGCTCTCCGTCGTGATTGTTGTGACGATGCGGTTCCTCCGCTGAGACAAGGAAGAACAAAAGGCACAAGCATCCAAACGACTCAAAAAGACGACTCTGGCCGAGAGGCGTGCGTCGGGCGCAGCCTGGAGGCGGACAGACCGTCGCACGCCCCACGCACGGCTGTCGCGCGCCTCCCTCCGCTGCTCCTGGGGAGGCCACCTCACACTTGGTAGTCCCCAAACGTGGTGGTGACAACACCTGGCGGTGAGTCTCGGGCGATTTGGTGTCACCACCCGGTTTGGGGACTCGTGCGGTTTTCCGAGGATGTCCCGGACACTGGTGGGTCCAGGAGTCACGAAACCCGGTGGTGACCCCGCGTCCCCAAACCCAGCGGTGACCTTTTTGGGGATTCCAGGTCGCCACCTGGTATCTCACCACCCGGTTTGGGGGTTCCCAACACACGCTTCCCCCCCGCGCACCCCCCGGGGAGGGGAGGCAGCAGCCGAAACTGAACCGTCGTGGGTGCCCTCCGCCCTGCGCCTTGCGCCCTCCGTCCCCCTGGGCCCGACCTCCTCCGTCCTCCGTCCTCGGCCTCGTCCGCGCCGCTGCTGCCCCGCCCGCCGCAGCAGCGGTTGGCCTTCCGCCAGCCTAATTTTTGGCCGGGAGCAACTCGGCCTCGTCCTCGGCCTCGTCCTCCTTCGCCCCCTCCCCCTCCTCCTCCTCCTCATCCTCCTCCTCCTCCTCCTCCTCCTCCTCCTCCTCCTCCTCCTCTTCCTCCTCCTCCTCCTCCTCCTCCTCCTCTCCTCCTCCTCCTTCTCCTCCGCCTCTTCCTCCCTGACGTCCCAAGGATGGTGCCCTGGCACTGTTCAGGACTTTCACACGGTCGATTCCCAACGGGGCACCTCCCTCAGTGACGGCAGACCCTTCTAGGGGCCTATGACAAGGGAACCTGGAGCGATGGCGGTTTGCAACATCGTTAGTGAGTCTTGGATTGACACAAGTCACTCCTCCTCCTCCTCCTCCTCCTCCTCCTCCTCCTCCTCCCCCTCCTCCTCTCCTCCCTCCCCCTCCTCCTCCTCCTCCTCCTCCTCCTCCTCCTCCTCCTCCTGCCTGGCTTGCCCACGGGGCCTGTCATGGGTGCCTCCCTCGGACGGCCTCGCCCGAGAGGCGGGCGGCGGGCCCGGGTGGCCTCTGGGCGGGGATCTGGCCCTTGTCCTTCAGGTGCCTCTGCAGGCCCTGCCGCGGCGGACGTCCATCCCTCCATCCCTCCATCCATCCCTCCATCCCTCTCTCCCTCCATCTCTCTCTCTCTCTCTCTCTTTTTCTCTCCCTCCTCCTTCATGTTCCCCTTTCCCCATCTCCCCATCTCCTCCTCCTCCACCTCATCTTCCTCCTCCTCCTCCTCCTCCTCCTCCTCCTCCTTCTCGTCCTCCTCCTCCTCCTCCTCCTCCTCCACCTGCTCCTTCTCCCCGTTAATCATCATCGCCACCACAAGTATCATCATTCACCTGCTGATCACAACACCAGCAACAATCATCTCAATACCGTTCGATCTCAGAAACTCGCGTGTCGTCCAACATGTATGTCCCAAACTCTCGATACCCGCCCTCTTCGTCGTCGATCGTACCCTCTTGAGGGGTAGATCCTCCTTCCCTGCCACATTCACTTGGCGTACCCTTCGAAACATGAAGAACAGAAATAATGAGCAATGGAATGCAGAGGAGAGGAGAAAGGGAGTGGTGGAAGGGATGGAGGAGGGAATGGGGGCAAAAAAGGAGGGAGAAGATGGAGGACGAGAAGTGATTATGAAGATTAGCAAAAGGGGGATCGCAAGGAAGTCCGCCATGGTGCAACCATAACGTCGACCCCCAGAGGTCCCGACCCACTCCCCAGGGCCCAATGCTTCATCCTGAGCCGTTGCTTGACGGTCCCGGGGCCCACGGAGGGCCCCCAGAAGCCCGAAAACACGGCCAAGAACCTCCCGCCGTGCTCTCGCTCCTGTCTCTCGAGGGGGCCCCCGGCGACGCCGCTGCCTCCCGGCGCGGTGCCCAGCCAAAGCCCAGGGCCCACCTCCCCGCGAGCCTGGGCGGGCGCACTGCAGCCAGGGGCCCGCGCTCGCCCTCGGCGCTCCGCGCGGACCCCCTGGGCGCGGCCGACGCCCGGCGACCTGCAGCTGGATCGGCCGCGCCCAGGGTTGAGTCGGGCCTGTCCCCCTACAGGGGGATTCTCGACAAACAATGAAAATACCCTAAAAATAATCCAAACATCATCCACTCTGGGGGCTATGTTTTCAGTATTCTGGTACCTTTCTGGTGGATTCGTGGGGTATTTTCTAAATTTTTCGTCGAAAATCCCCCGGTAGGGGGACAGGCCCGACAGAAGCCCAGGGGCGACCAGACCTCCCGAGCACAGCGGTCGCTTTGCCTTTCGCCGGCGAGCCCGGGGGGGGGGTTCAGCGAGACGGGGCGGGCCTTCTCGCGAGGCTCGGGAGGCCTCGGGACTCCGGGGAGAAGCTGCCGAAGCCTTCCCCGAGGAAGCAGGAGGACTTCTCAGAAGGCGCGAGGGCTCCTGAGAAGCCCCGCCGCCTCCTGAGAAGTCCTGCTCCTTCTCACTCCCATCCCCCCCCAGACTCGCCGCCTGCTGGGGGCGGCCAGACCTCCTCGCTTCGTACAAAAAACGGCGGGTATCAGCTTTCCCATGTTCAGCTAGCGACGATCGCGACGACCGAGAAGCCCCGGCTCCCAGCACCCGTGCCACCCCCCTGATGTGAAGGAGCACAGACACACGCATATATATATATACACACAACTACATATATATATATATATATATATATATTAATGTATACATGTGTACTTTTATATATATATATATATAGAGAGAGAGGGAGAGGAATAGAGAGAGAGACACCCCTTGTCCCACTCTTCTATGTTTGTCCAAGCTCGGCAGTCGCCTGCAATGCGTGCGAGAGCGTGGCAGAACTACGGCCACGGGCGCCTGCAGCCTCCTTCTCGAAATCAGTGTGTTCGAATCTAGACAGAAATGCCAGGATCCCCTTACTTTTTCAACATTGCCCAACCATCCTTTATTGAGTTGGGTCCTCGTTTTGCAGAGACGGTCCCCGCGTCTCCTCCCCTCCTCTTCTCCTCTTCCCCCTCCTCCCTCCTCCCGTCACCCCCCTCACGATGGCACACCACACACACGTTTTGTGGCCCCATTGGGAGCTCCACCGAATGCCCCAGTGGCATGCTTCGCATGATGTCCTCCTCCACTTTGGCACACCCCTCGCACGTTTCGTGGCCCCATAGGGAGCTCCATCGAGAACCCCAGTGGCATAATTCGCATGCCGCTGCCCTTCACTTTGGTACACCCCTCATAAGCTTCGTGGCCCCATAGGGAGCTCCACCGAAGGCCCCGGTGGCGGTGTCCGCATGCACTTCCCCCGCCCAGTACATCGCTTCGTGGCCCCATAGGGAGCTCCACCGAAGGTCCCCACCCAGTACACAGCTTCGTGGCCCCATAGGGAGCTCCACCGAAGGCCCCAGTGGCGGTGTCCGCATGCGTCTCTCCCACCCAGTACACCGCTTCGTCGCCCCATAAGGGGGCTCCACCGAGAACCCCAGTGGCGGTGTTCGCACACGTCTTCCCTACCCAGTACACAGCTTCGTGGCCCCAGAGGGAGCTCAACCGAAGGCCCCAGTGGCGGTGTCCGCATGCGTTTCCACTACCCAATACAACGCCCATAGGGAGTTCCACTGAAAAACCCAGTGGCGGTGTCCGCATACGTTTCCCTCACCCTGTACAGCGTTTCGTTGCCCCATAGGGAGCTCCACCGAAGGGCCCAGTGGCGGTGTCCGCATGCGTTTCCCCCACCCAGTCCAGCGCTTCGTGGCCACATAGGGAGGAAGGCCCCAGTGGTGTCCGCATGCGCCTCCCCCACTCAGTACAACGTCTCGTGGCCCCATCTGGAGCGCCACCGAAGGCCGCAATGGCTGCGCCCGCATGCGCCCCCGCACCATTTCAGTACACCCCTCACACGTTACGTGGCCCCATGTGGAGCGCCACCGACGGCCCCCAGCGGCTGCGCCCGCATTCGTCTCCGCGCCATTTCGGCACACCCTTTACACGCTTCGGCGCCCCATAAAGAGATCCACCGACGGCGATGTCCACAACGGCGATACTCGCAACTGCGTCTGGTTGGGCCCTTCGCCAGGAGAATGTCTCGAGCTTCGTCTTCCCCCCCCACTTCCCACATGTTCCTGCACTTGCCTGGGAACCGATGATCCTTTCTGTCTGTGTGTGCTTCCCTTCCTGATGATGGGCTGGGACCCGTGCAGGAGGAGGAGCAGGAGGAGGAGGAGGAGGAGGAGGACCAGGAGCAGGAGGAGGAGAAGTTGGAGGAGTAGGATTAGAAGGAGGAGGGGGAGGAGAGGGACGAGAGGGACGAGAGGGAGGAGGGGGGGGAGAGGAGGAGGAGGAGGAGGAGGGAGGAGGAGGAGGAGGAGGGAGGGAGGACGGAGGGACGAGAGGGAGGAGGAGGAGGAGGAGGAGGGGAGGAGAGAGGAGAGAGGAGGAGGAGGAGGAGGAGGAGGAGGAGGAGGAGGAGGAGGAGGAGGAGAAGGAGAAGGAGGAGGAGGAGGAGGTGAGAGCTGCACTTTCCCGCCGCTCTCCCGCGCCGAGGCCCCCGCGGAGCGCGCGGCGCTCGGCGCTCGGCCCCTGCGGCGGCGGCATCCCCGGCCGCTCCCCCTGCGCCCCCGTCTGCCGAGGCTGCCGCTGCCGAGCGGCTACGGTAGGTTCGCGCGGCGTCGGCGCGCGCAAAGGTTTATGACGCCGCGTCGATTGTTCAACCTTGAACCGATCGCGGCCCCGATCGTTCAAGGTTGAATCCAGTCGGGTCCAGCGGCGTTACCGTGCCCCTCGGTGCTTCCGCGTCGCAGAGTTCAACCTTGAGGGCTTTCGCCGGCGTCGCTGGCGCGCCAACGCCGCACGAACCTACCGTACGTACCTCGGTGGCACTGACGGCCAGGGCGCGCCCGAGATCCGAGCAGGGGATCGGATGTGTCGGTCGAATCTACCAAGATTCAGGGGGGCGTAAGACCCGGGTGCAGGGGGCTCGGAAATCCCCGACGAGGTCGTCAAAAAAATGACGAGGCCGAGCCTGCATTCTGACGAGGCTTCCCGCTGCAGACATCCCACGAAACTCCTACTCGACAAAATCCGAGTCGCCGTCGTCAAAAAACGATGGCGAACCCGAGTCCTGTCTACCAAGGTACGAGGACTGCTTCGCAGATCTGTGCGACCGTTCTGCGCGTGCTCCGCAGATGCGACGAGGAAGTCAACTCTGGGGTACCTCGATGATGTAGTCGATCCCCATTCTCGAGAAAGGGGGGCGGGGAAGCGTGAGCCGAGGCCCAGCAGCGCAACTCCGCCCCAAACCGGCAGGGGCCCGCTGCCGGGCAGGCGACGCGCGGCCCCGAACGGACGGCGCCCGCGGCGATGCCGACAAGCCGAGCCCAGCTCGAGATGAGCAGGACATCGTACTCCAGATTTCGTAATAAAGGGGGGGGGGTCTCAACCCTCCCAGACGAAAAGTTTTAGACCACCCCCCCCCGGGGAGAACCCTCCAAAACATCGTCCCCAGACCCCCCCAGGCCCTCCAAGATAGCCTGGAAGAGACCCCCCCCGAAATGAGACCCCCTCCCTTTTATTACGAAATCTGGAGTACGGGTCGTCGTTTCGGTGCTGCTCCGTCCCCACTGCAGCCGCCCCAGCGAGGGACTACTCTTACGCGCGGCCAGCTACGCCGATGGCACGGACGACCGGCCTGCCCCCTCCTCCTGTAATGACCTCCCAGATGGGGCGCGGGCAGACGGGGTCGGAGGATCGCGCCGCATCCCCGATGCATCGCCGTTGCATCGGCGACGCATCAACGACGCTGGCGATGCATCGGCCACCGCGGCGTGGATAGCATCGGGCTCCACATCGAGCCGCATCGCTGGTGTCATCGGCCATGCGGCGCGATCCTCCGACCCCATCTGCTCGGACCCCCTCTGGGGCGCCTGAGTAGGCGGCCACATGTGAACCCTACCCCCGCCCCCCACGTTTTGTAAAGGGGGGGCGAGGGTCCACTCAGCTCGGGACCCCCCCAGCGAAGAGACCCCCCCCACCCACCTTAGAAATCGTGGGGGGGGGGGAGCGGATTCACACGTGGCCACCGTCTGAGACCCTATAGCGGCGGCCTCCACGAGGTCCCCTCCCGCGAACTTGTCCATGACGATGCACACGAAGCACCTGCCGCTCGGGGGATGCCGGGCGGCAGCGGGGGCCGCCGCGCCCCCCGCAGACCCGCTGGCCCCTGCGAGGTCGCCAGGCCAACGCCGTCGTCTCGCCGCCACCATCGCCGCCGCCGTCGAGGTTCGCCGTGGCCGTCGCCGTCGTCGCCGCCGTCGCAAACCACCGGGTCCAGGGGAAGCATTGCCCGACCTGGCCAGCAACAAAAAAACATACGAGCAGATCGGCCCGGGGGCGGGTCGGGTGGGGCGGGGCGCGCGGGACATGAAAGTGTGACGCGGCATCGAGCTAGCACGCGTGGACACTATGCTGACTTCGAGTGTGTCGGACCGGACCCGACCTCCTCTTCCTCATAATCATCACCATCACCACCATCACCACCACCACTACCACCACCACCACCACCACCACCACCATCATCATCATCATCATCATCATCATCATCATCATCATCATCATCATCATCATCATCATCATCATCATCATCATCATCATCATCATCCTCATCACCCTCATCATCATCATCATCATCATCATCATCATCATCAGCATCAGCATCAGTATCAGCATCATCACCACCACCACCATCAGCATCATCATCAGCAGCAGCATCACCAACATAATACATATCATCATCATCATCACCACCACCACCATCATCATCATCATCATCATCATCATTATCATCAGCATCATCGCCAACACCAACATCATCAGCATTATCATTATCATCATCATCATCATCATCATCACCAACAGCATCATCAGCATTCGCATCATCAGCATCATCATGATCATCCTCGTCCTCATCCTCATCACCATTATCATCAGCATCACCAGCAGCATCGTCATCATCATCAGCAGCATCATCATGGACCATCATCATCGTCATCGTCATCACAATCGTCATCATCATCCTCATCATCATCAGCATCATCATCATCATCGTCTTCGACGCGTCGTCGTCGTCATTGTCGTCATCATCGGCATCTGCATCACTAGCCGCATCACCATCATCATGATCAGCATCATCATCGTCATCAGTATCATCACCATCATCATCAACATCAACCTTATCATCATCAATATCGTCATCATCGCCGTCAGCATCATCAGCAACATCAGCATCAACAGTATCATTATCAGCATCAGCATCACCATCATCATCAGCATCGTCGTCGTCATCATCATGCTCGTGGACGTCATCATCATCGTCATCATGCTCATCATCATCATCATCAGCAGCATCAGCATGACCGTCGTCAGAATCGACATCATCGTCACCACCCTCGTCATTACCGCGGTCATGATAATCGTCGACATCATTGTCATCGTCAGCATCATAATTGTCGTCGTCGGCGTCGTCTCCGTCGTCGTAGTCGTCGTCGTCATCACAATCATGAGCGCCATCATCACTATCATTATGATCATCCGCGTCAGCATCAACAGCATCATCGTCGTCGTCGGTCATCGTCAATGTCCAACGTCCGTCGGTCGTCCGTCGTAGTCACCCGTCGTCGTCGTCGTCGGTCGGTCGGTCGGTCGGTCGTCATCGTCGCCGTTGTCGTCGTCGTCGGTCGTCGTCTTCGTCGTCGTCGTCGTCGTCGCTGGCGTCGGCGTCGTCGTCGTATTGGTCAACGCCGTCGTTTGTCGTCATCGTCGTCCGTTGTCGTCGTCGTCGTCGTCCTCGTCGTCGTCGTCGTCGTGGTCTCGGTCGTCGTCGTCGTCGGCGTCGTTGTCGTCGTCGACGATGGTGTCGGTGCCGTCGTTTGTTGTTAGCGGCGCCGTCGTCGTCGTCGTCGTTGCTGTCGTCGGCGTCAGCGTCATCGTCTGCTGGCGGCGGCGAGGGGGAGGGGTCCACTACCCCCCCCCCATCCCTGCGCTGGGGGGGTGGGGGCGTCCTGGACGTCCCTAATAATAATAATTGTCCAACGGGAAGGGTTCACGACCACCGAATGATTTTCCGGGCGGGGGGGTGGGTCTGGAACCCCCTGGAACCTCGTTTTGGAGGGGGGGGACCCGCATGTCGGCCCAATCCCAACCGACTTGTCCCAATCCCAACAGGCGGGTGCCAATCCCAATCCGCGCGAAAATAAAACTGGTCCGAATCCCAACCAATGGAAGATAAGCCCCTACTAGGAAACAAGATAGAAAACGGTTCAAGACAAGTGTTGAAACCAAGTGGCGCTTCTTATGTCACTGCGTTGTTCAGATGGCCAACAGACGTGCCAAAGTTGGAATTGGCAACACTTCGGTCTTCGCAGCAGCACTCAGGACAACGGTTGTGGTAGTAGCAATCATAGAACATATCGCACTATAATGAGCAGGACTAGAATCAACAGAAAAGTAGTAGTAGTAGTAGCAGTAAAAGTACCAGTACTGGTAGTAGTAGTAGTAGTAGTAGTAGTCATACCAGTGACAGCATAAGTCGTAGTAGTTGTAGTAGTAGCAGTCGTGACTAGCAGTGATAGTAGTAGTCGTCGAAGTAGTAGTAGTAGTAGTAGTAGTAGTAGCAGTAGTACGAGCAGCAGTAAGTAGTACTAGTAGTAGATAGTAGCAGTAGTAGTAGTAGTAGTAGGAGGAGGAGTAGTAGTAGTAGCCGTAGTAGTAGTAGTAGTAGTAGTAGTAGTAGTAGTAGTAGTAGTAGTCGTAGTAGTAGTAGTAGTAGTAGTAGTAGTGGTGGTAGTAGTGGTAGTAGTGGTGGTACAAGAAATCGTAATCATATTACTAGTATCAGTAGTAGTAGTAGTATTACTAGTAGGGGTAGTAGTAGTAGTAGTCGTCGTAATCGTAGTGGTAGTAGTAGTAGTAAAAATAGTAGTAGTCGTAGCAGTAGTAGTAGTAGGTAGTAGTAGGTAGTAGTAGTAGTAGTAGTAGTAGTAGTAGTAGTAGTAGTAGTAGTAGTAGTAGTAGTAGTAGTAGTAGTAGTAGTGGTAGTAGTAAAAGTAGTAGTAGAAGTAGTAGCAGTAGTAGTAGTAGTAGTATTAGTAGTAGTAGTTGTTGTTGTTGTAGTAGTAGTAGTCATCGTAGTAGTAGTAGTAGTAGTAGGTAGTAGGTAGTAGGTAGTAGGTAGTAGGTAGTAGGTAGTAGGTAGTAGGTAGTAGGTAGTAGGTAGCAGGTAGCAGGTAGTAGGTAGTAGGTAGTAGGTAGTAGGTAGTAGTAGTAGTAGTAGTAGTAGTAGTAGTAGTAGTAGCAGCAGTAGTAGTAGTAGTAGTTGTACCAGTAGTAGTAATAGCAGTGGTAGTACTAGTGGTAGAAGTCGTAGGACTACAAGATGTAGTAGCAGTAGTAGCAGTAGCCGTAGTAGTGCCAGTCGCAGTCGTAGTAGTAGTAGTAGTAGTAGTACTAGTATCAGTAGTAGTAGTAGTAGTAGTACTAGTACTAGTCGCCATGGTAGTAGTACTAGTAGTAGTAGTAGTAGTAGTAGTAGTAGTAGTAGTAGTAGTAAAAGTAGTAGTAAAAGTAGTAGTGGACGTAGTAGTAGTAGTAGTAGTTGTTGTTGTTGTAGTAGTCGTAGTAGTAATATCAGTAGTCGTAGTAGTAGTAGTAGTAGTAGTAGTAGTAGTAGTAGTGGTAATAGTAGTGGTAGTCATGGTAGCAGTAGTTGTTGTTGTAGTAGTAGTTGTAGTGATAGGATCACACCTGACTGATGGAGTGGGTGGTTTGGGTTTGGGTTTGGGTTGGCGGCCTCCTTATTGGAATTCCATACCATAGAAGGCCTCCATATTGTAATTTCATCCTGAGGATTCCTGAGGGTAAAGATTCCCCCAAATTCCAAAGGATTCCTGAGGGTCTCTCAGTAGTCCCCCGAAGATGAGGATACCTGAGCCTCCCGAATTCCAAAGAATTCCTGATGGTCTATCAGGATTCCCCCGAATTCCTGAGGGTCTCTCAGGATTCCCCCGAATTCCTGAGGATTCCTGAGGGTCTCTCAGGATTCCCCCGAAGTCCAAAGGATTCCTGAGGGTCTCTCAATAGTCCCCTGAATCTGAGGATACCTGAGGGTCTCTCAGGATCCCCCCGAATCCCTGAGGATTCCTGAAGGTCTCTCAGGATTCCCCCGAATTCCTGAGGGTCTCTCAGGATTCCCCCGGATTCCCGGGGATTCCTGAAAGTCGGAAGATCTCGTAAGATCTCTGAAGATCTCGTGAGATCCCTGATGATATCGTAAGATCTCTGAAGATGTCGTAAGATCTCTTACGATTTCGTAAGATGTCTGCGGTTGGGATTGTGACCACTTCTGGTTGCAATCCACTCCGAACGGTTGGATTTGGGACAAGTCGGTTTGGATCCGTCCCATTTCCGAGGATACCCCCCCTGCCAGCAGCAACAGAAAGCGCTCTTTCAAATGTCTTGGCCCCGTTCGTGGATGCACGCCGGCCTGCAAAGACGACGCTCCAGGGCGCGATGCTCATAGGTGCACCTCGGGTCTGACACAAGCTGATTGGCGATGGTGTTGGGCGTCTCATGGCTCAAGAGCAAGTGCGAGCCATCACGAGCGACCAGGACACCAGGTTTCAAGAAAGAGCGGCCAGTTCCTTCGAGCCAGAGGTACGCGTCGAGCACAGGGTCGATTGCGTTCCTCAGCCAGCTCTCCCGCTAGAATGCTCCCGAAGCGCGTGCTTCGTAGCGCGTGCAACGTTCATCATCATCCTCCTCTTCGCCCTCATCCTCCTCCTCCCTCCTCTAGTTCTTTCCTCCTCGTCCCCTGGGGCGCCTCTCGTAGTAGACGCCATGGCACTTGACGATGTTGGGGTGGTCCTCGCGCCGATCCGACTCTGGCTCGGCCTCTGATCTGCTCCCCTCCATGCCTGCCGCGCACCCGGTCCTCGAAGAAGAGGGAGGGGATCCCAGAGAAAGGATTACAAGGGGGAGAGGAGCAAGGTGAGGAGAACCCCAGAGAACAGGTTTAGAAGGATGCTGGATTGGCCTGCCTACACAGGCAGGTCCGAAAAGGATGAAGGGGAACTGGGACACACAAATAAATACACACAGATAAACATATCCCCCATATGTTCTGGGTTTCTGTCTTCCCCCCCACTGCCCATATGTTCCCTTTGGGGGGAATCGCCGATTAATTGTGTCTGTGTGCTTTTTCCCCTCCTGAAAGAATGAAGGGGGAACAGGGACGAGAAAAGATGAGCACTGAGAGAAAGTTTCGGAAGTTGCTTGTTGCTGCCAGCTGTCTTCTGACAGTTCTCGAGGTAACCAAAACATGCTCTGGAGACTTCCTGGCGTCTTCCGATGCTCCCTGGAGCCGTCCCCAGTTCCCGTTTCACGGATCCCCCTCTCGCCGACCCTCCAGGAGGAGGAGGAAGAGGGAGGCTGGACTTCTGCGTAGGGCTTTGAAGCGCTTCGGCGGGTTCTGGGAAGTTCTAGGGGCTGTAGGGAGGTCGATGAGGGAGATGGGGGGAATAGGAAGTTAGGGGAGGGTGGAAGGAGGCAGGAGGACTGAGGAAGGAGGAGGGAAGAGGATCCGCCCCACCCGTTCCCCTCCCCTTCTCCCTTCTCCTATTTGTACCTCACATAATCCTCCTCCTCCGCCTCCTCCTCCTCCACCCTCGTCCTCCGCACCATCATCATCATCACGGCACCAGCGTCATCATCATCATCATCATCATCATCATCATCATCATCATCATCATCATCATCAGCATCGGCACCATCAGCAACACCATCAACATCAGCATCACCAGCAGCAACCTCAGCACCATGTCCAAGATAAACATCATCGCCAATAACATCAGCATCGTCGCCATCATCACCAACAGCATCATCATGAGCATCAGCATCACCAGCAGCAGCATCATGATCATCACCCTCACCCCCACCACCATCACCGTCATCAGCGTAATCCTCATCAGCTACATCACCCTCATCATCACAATCACCAAGCATGATCGTCACCACATCACCAGCATCATACATCTCAACAGCAGCATCATGAGCAGCGTCGTCATCAACATCGGTATCAACATCAGCATCAGCATCGCCATGATACGCAGCAGCAGCATCACCATGATCATCCGCATCATCATCGTCACCACCATACTCATCATTACCATCACCAGCATCGGCATCATCGCCGCCAACAGCATCATCATCACCACCTTGTTCATCAGCAGCAACACCACCATCATCGTCAACAGCACCGTCACCATCCTCATCATCTTCAACATCAGTAACAGCATCGTCATGGGCAACATCAGCATGATGACCCCTTATCATCAGCATCATCAGCAGCATCAGCGTCATCGGCAGCATCATCAGCACCCGCATCAACATCATCATAACCGCCACCGTCATCATCATCTTCATCCTCACCCTCATCAGCAACAGCATCATCGTAACATATTCCCCCTTCTCCTCGCTCCCCGCTCCTCGCTCCTCGCTCCTCCTCCTCGTGCCCCTTCCCCGTGTCTCCCCACTCCTCCCGAGGGGCGGTCCATGCTCTGGAGCATCGACGCCTCCTTCTTAATCGCGTCCACGGGCGTCTCAACCTGCGGGCCGCCTCGACCCCCCCATGTCCATCTCTATTTCTCTCACGGTCTCTCTCTCTCTCTCTCTCTCGCTTTGTTTCTCGTCCTCACCCTCCTCCTCCTCCTTGTCCTCCTCCCCCTCCTCCTCCTCCTCCTCGCCCTCGACACAGCCCCGGCGCAAGATGAAGTCTCTCACGCCTCTATAAGGAGGGCCGCCCTCTCGCCGACCCCCCGCGTCCGCCAGGAGCTATAGCGGACGCCAAGCTGCCGACGGGGCGGCAGAGAAGAAGGAAGAGGAAGACGAAGAGGAGAGAAAGAGAGAGGCGCCAGCTCAACGACGTGCTGCTCCGCGAACAGCACTGACCGCCGAAAGCGGCCAGTCCCCCTGCCGCCGTGGCCCTTCCAGCACCACGGGACACTGGTCACCCCCAACGGACCTCCATGCGGGGCACACGGAGCGGGTAGGTGCATGGGTCACCAGGCCCATCCCCGCAGACCCCCTTTGCCCCAGGGGGCTCAGGTGGGTCCACGTCCCTGAGCCGTGCCCAGTGGGCCGACCCCACTGACCACACCTGGCACCGCAACGTGACGGGCAGGCAACAACAGTGGCCAGAGCCTGCCCCCAATCCAGGCAGGCACCGTAGATGCCGACGCGCACCCGTCGCGAAGGACGGGACTGCGCCGACAGGGGGACGGGTGCCCTCGCGGGACCCAGAGGCCAGGTCCCCGTGGGACCTGAAACGGCAGACCTGGCCACTTTGGGGGACCACCCCAGCTGGTCCAGGGGTGCCGCCCCAGGCCCGACAGGGCACCGACGCCCTGGCCCGCGGCGCCGCAAGCGACGTCTAGGCGGATTTCAGCGCACCCCAGGGCCCCCGATGCGCCGACCACGCACCGAGGTACCCCTTTGGGGGCTCCTCCTCCTCCTCCTCCTCCTCCTCCTCCTCCTCCTCCTCCTCCTCCTCGTTCTCCTCCTCCTCCTCCTCCTCCTCCTCCTCCTCCTCCTCCCTCTAGTTCTTTGTCCGTCTCCTTCTCCTCCTCCGCCTCCTCCTCCTCCTCCTCCTCCCCCTCCTACGTGTTATCTTCCTCTTTTCTTTATGTGTCTCTCTCTCTCTCTCCTTCTCTCTCTCTCTCTCTCTCTCCCTCTCTCTCTCTCTCTCGTTGTCTCTCTCTCTATCTCTCTCTCTGTCTCTCTCGTTTGTTTGGTTCTCTCTCTCTCTCTCTCTCTCTCTCCCTCTCGCCACCTCCGCGCTCCAGGGAGGGAGCGGAGAGGGGAGGAGGGAACGGTGGAAAAACTGAGGAGGAACGGAGGAGGGGAATATTCCAACTCGAGTGAGACGGAGAGCGGGGTGGAGCGCAAAAGGGAGGGCAAGAGGGACGGAGGAGGGAGGAAGAGGGAGGGCGGGAGGGAGGGACGAAGGGACGGAAAAGGTTTCCTGGACGTTTCTGGGGCTCCCGATGTTTTCGAACGTTCTCCGAGTTGCCGTCATATTCTGACGTGTTCCGAGGTTCGACGGATCATCTCAGACTTTCTCTCAAGTTCATGGGAAACTCTTGAAGTCCCCAACCGCAAATGTTTCCGGGAGAAAGAGAAGGAGGAGGAGGAGGATGAAGTTGAGGGGGGAAGGGGAGGGGCTCATCCTCCTCCTCCTCCTCCTCCTCCTCCTCCTCCTCCTCCTCCTCCTCCTCTTCCTCCTCCTCCTCCTCATCGATCCGCCTCGAATCCTCCCAGGGGGATGCCCCAGGCCTCCCTAAATTCGCTCCAGAAGCCTGCTCGGGACCCCCCCGGCTGCCGCTCTCATTCTCCAGGACTTCACCGCGGCGCGCCGAGCCGCCTTGTCCACCATTTTGACGGCGAATTCCTGCGGCGCGCAAGCAGTCCTCCCCACCCGCCCAAGACGTCGCCACCGTCGTCGTCATTGTCGTCACTATCCTTCTCGTCAATCATTTCCCCTCCGCCTCCTCCTCCTTCTCCTCCTCCTCCTCATTCTCATCCCCATCCTCCTCCTGCTCATCATGCTCGTCCTCCTCCTCCTCCTCCTCCTTCTCCTCCTCCTCTCCTCCTCCTCCTCCTCCTCATCATCATCATCATCAGCATCATCATCGCCAT